AAATCACGCCAACAGAAAGTCGATAGTTACCAACTAGGCTTGCACGTGATTGACAAAAATCAATTCCGTAATTACGGCCAAATCGATTACGTAATGACCCCGTAATTGCGATATTTTTTTCACACATTTAAACCTATCATAACAACAAATTTAATCCACTTCTATTCCGAATGGGACATCGAAGTTTGGTTTTCATATTCCCGGCAGTACTACACGCCGGCGACAGATGTTAAAGACAAATATCAAGGAGTGAATTCAAAATAAAATTATACTGATTTTTATCTTTTGTATTAGCTTTGATTTTCCTTTATCAACTTTATCACCAAATTTTATGCGATCAATTTTATCATTACCAAGACTGGTAATATATTTATGAAACGATAGTTGACTTTTTTTAAATCGTATTAACGTATTAATACGACTTTCGTATTAAATAAAAATTCCGGGTTGCTAATTTATTAATCAACTACAAGCGTATTCTCTCGTTTGATTATACTTTCGCTTGCCTCGCGACGAAGACTTGTTATTTCACCGTTTTTTACAATATCCGACTTTACTACTTAGTTAGCATTTTATAATAATTATTGATGCCGACTTATTGACGATATTCCGATTTCCATGCTTCAATTTACATTAAATCATTTCGCGGCCTAAATGTTATAACATTATTTGCGATAAATTTAGATCAAATATTAATTATTTGCGCATAATTTAAAATACCGTACTTATATGACATGCCTTCTCCGAAAATACAAAGTTATATCGCAAAACAATGCATTTTGTGACATTTATTTTGCACTCATGAAAATATTAATTTATTTTTCTAACTGAAGTCGACAATCCTATTTGCCAAGACTGACACAAGTTTGGTCGAGTGCCGGTGGTATTCGAGTCGACGATAAATCAATGAGGTTGCCACATTTGGTAAAGACAGGTAATCATAATTGGCCGACATATTGCGAGGCATTGTGAAAAACATATTGAGCAATGCCAAGTCCGGACAGATATATAACGATAAAATCGGTAACAGAACATCAAGATTTTGTAATAGAAAATGGATCTGGCGCAGAATAAACACGTGAAATCGCGCCGTATTGTTGTTTCTTTGCCGTCTCAATAGCTTTACCGATGCCGAAAAGACTAAATTGCGTTGGTTCATTACGCAATTGCTCTTCCGTCTTTATATTGCTGTTTGATAAGCGCGACAATGATTATCACGGCATTTACAAATAGACCATGTTTTATAGGTTGATCTCTTACATTCTTTAGTCATTTCACCCGAAGAAGTTGAAACCAGGTGTGTTGGCGTCCATCGATCTCAACACAATTATATCCCTCATCTACGGTTAATATGTACATTGGCCATGCTAGATAAGTTGATAATAGGTTAGTAAATGACGCGTTATGCCTTCCCCATCTGCGTAACAAGAGAGAGAAAAACGGCTGCGAATACCGAACGAACTCTAACTTCTTCTACTTAAACTTTTAATTTTTTACAATCGACGGAATTGACTGCTTTGAAGTAAGCTAGCTCGTTTCAATCGCGAAAGCGCTCGACCAATAATTACGACTTTACGTAATTCGTAACTCGAAATAATTCCGTAAATTACGTACAAGCCTATTACCCACAAAAGCTTTAGCAGGACAGTATCTCCCCAGGGGATAAAAATATGTAAATCCTATCCCTGCAGCACGCACTAATGTTTATCTCGGGTTGCCAAAACCTTATTGTGTCCATTGACCACAAACTTATTGGGAAATTTTGACTTGAATAGCATTAAAAACCTTGAATACAAAACTCCACTCACACAATCCCACTGCCCTAGAAATATCAGATACATGTATATTCCCAAATACAGTGATGGACATAGCACGCAATGATCCATCACCTGAAGTAACAACAACATTGCAAAACTGTTTTTTCGTGGAATACAACAATTCTTCTTTAACTCAAATAAATATGACGATGCGCTTGTGACTCTTGATCACATTAGAAGCCATGGAAATTCAGACAAAAGCGACAACATGGGATAGGATAGGATTTACATATTTATCCCGGGGGAGAGGAAAGCCGATAAGACGGCTTATGCACATGGCGAACCACGGCCTCTCGTCCGGTTACCATTCCAAGTCGGGTATGGGATTAGTTTTTACTGTATTGTTTGTTTTCGGAAGCATGGACTTGGTGGTGGAGGAAGCCGTAACCGACCAGCGGTTACGTGAACCACCCAACGACGGCGTGGAGTCCAGCAATCCTCTCGCACATAACCATCCCTGCATGGGATTCGAACCTGCGAACCCACGCAGGGTACCGTAATTAGAGGTGCGGTGGCGAGCGTATTCCTAACGCTTAGCCCGTTGAGCCACACCGCCGCGCCACCGCTGCTTATTAAAACAATTGAGGATGAATTTCCATTCCTCACACTGCCTCATTCTTTCGCAAGACCATACTGCGGCCACTGTAGAAACTTTCGATTTGGATGCTAAATATGGATCAAATACGCTCCATCTCAAGAGCCAATAATACCAAGCCCGGCGCGACAGTACCCTTTCCAGCACATATGCTCTGACTGCTTTTCCGTTGTAGACGGATTCAGAGGTTGGTATAGTATTTTCTTTTACACACCACACCACGATCAATCCCTAAAGAGCTCATCAACGTGGATTATTCGCATGCTCTTGAGCAGAACTCAGATGGTGGACCCCAGTTCACCTCATCTGAATTCCAGAATTTTTTAACTGACTTGGAAATAAAGCATCGAAAGTTTTCAGCATTTTACCCACAATCTAACAGACGAACAGAGTCAAAACTGCCAAGCGGATTACAGTATTCGAATATGAGACAGCGCGGGCAATCCTAAATACAGGAACCCTATAGTCTTTCGTGACCCCTCATCATGTACGTTTTTTTTCAATATGTATTATCTCATTATTATTTTCTTGTCTTTATACACATTTAAATCAATTCGTACTTTGATTCTTTCATGATGAAAAATAAAATCTGAGTTTGTCCTAAAGTATTTTAGTTTACGAAGGAAAGTGCACTTTGTTTTACACTGGACCACGGTTGATATGAAATTCGGGAATTCAAGTTTGACATTCGGCTGGCGTGACAGTGGTGTCCGTTGTGCCTGAAAGACCGTGGTCCTCCATATAATTAAGCCGTCTTAGCGGCTCTCCTTCGCGGATAAATGTGTACAGGTATGACGTGCGTTGTCGTTCTTATTAAATTTGTGTCATACCGCCTTAATTAGTTACCGGTATAAGGTCTAATTACCGCCTGTTACCGGTACCGTACTTTTATTGATTTATAATATTTAAAATAATATTTCTTTGTATCAAATCGAATTAGTCCTCATTAGCAACAGCCCGAAAGTTTATTACATTCGCGTATTTTTGTGTGTGTTCATTTTTGGCCCAAGCCTTGTTTAACAAGATTTGTGTTTTCTGGTGAGCGGGCACATGATAGGCCTACTCATTATGTTTTTCAACTTTTGAAGGTTTTGCTCGTTCTCCAGAATTCTCCATTTTTAATTTTTTTCGAAATAAACTATCTATCTAAAATAATTTGGTTAGTTTTGGCTTCTATCTGCAGATCTGGTGAGTGAAGCAGGTCTAGCCCACCCATATTATATATACGCTTTGGTCTATAGGGCCTATAGCCCACCTCTTCATGCATCCAACTTTGCAATTGTGATTGGGCAATTTAGCATTACTGCATTAGGTGATTCCAATTATAACCAATTTGGCGATATCTTCTGAGGAATATTTTTTCTATCCAAAGTACATAACTCCTTTTGACTAGTTCGGTATCCACTTCGGCAATCCTCATAAAATTATTAATTTGGTGTGGCAAAAGATTTTATTTTTTTATTTGTTTGTATATTTTTCTTCTTACTGAGTAATTGATTTTATGTCTCGCTTTTTTCACTCCCGACCTTATCATGTCTCGATGTTTGTGTGTGTGTGTGCGTTGATTAATTCTAATACTTTTGGGTGAGCGAACAAGTACCGGTACCGGTACTACTTCTTTTATCAATACCTTCCCAACTGAAATATGTACAGATGTACGCTTTAAAACTTGCTTTAGGTTTCATTCAGGCGCAGCGGTGTGACTCAACGGGCTAAGCGTTAGGAATACGCTCGCCACCGCACCTCTAATTACTCTGCATGGCATGGGTTCGCAGGTTCGAATCCCATGCCAGCATGCAGGGATGGTTATGTGCGAGAGGATTGCTGGACTCCTCGTTGTCGTTGGGTGGTTCACGTAACCGCTGGTCGGTTACGGCTTCCTTCACCAGTCCATGCTTCCGAAAACAAACAAAATAACTAATCCCATACCCGACTTGGATTGGTAACCGGACGAGAGGCCGTGGTTCGCCATATGGATAAGCCGTCTTATCGGCTTTCCTCTCCCCAGGGATAAATATGTAAATCCTCCTCCTCCTCCTCCTCCATTTGCTTTCCCGACCCTATAATCAGTTTTATTTATTTTGTTTTTATCAATTGCTTTATCGTCTATTGCTGATTATGGAGTTGAAATATACTTATACTTATTTTTTTTCACTAGGTATTTCTGTATTTCAACGCGTATGCTTATGACCGTATGCTGCTATGAGTAGTTGGGAGTGACTGCTGCCTTTATTGCAGCTAAATTAAACATTTGATCGGGAGAATAGTCCATTCAAGGGTCTCGCAAAGTAAAGACGTACCGTACGTAACTGCTTAAACAATAACGCCAAACAAAATCGTGATGTCTGGATGTGAAAATACGAACCAAATTTTCATTTTTTTAAAAATAAAGTCTGTCTTGCGCGAACACAATGTCCATCTACTATGTGACATACTGCTGTACTGGTAGCTGCGGGTTTGATATGAACTAAACACACTAAAAATTCACAGCACATTTTTATTTGACGTCATTTAAACTCAAACAGTGGATGCCAGGATGTTATAAACATATATAAACATGCATTTAATTTCTGAATTTATTTATTTAATTCAACTTACTATTTAATGTTTTTTATTTATAAGATTTCTATAAAAGTATTAATCAATTGCAAAATAATATTATGAGTGGTAAGCCAAAAACACCCGCTTATCAAGAAATTTTAGAAGGTTTCAACAAATTGAGACAAGAACAACGAGGAATTGCTTTGAAACTCGCTGAATTGGAAGCAGATGTTGCTGAGCATTCTATAGTATTAGATGCTCTTGAGAAAGTTGACAAAGACCGAAAGTGTTACAGGTTGATTGGAGGGGTTTTGGTTGAAAGAACTGTCGGTGAAGTAGTTCCTGCTCTCCAGCAAAATAAATCTCAAATATCTCAGTTAACAAAAGTTTTTAATAAAAAATTGTCTGAAAAGGGGAAGGAACTTAACGATTTCAAAGAAAAACACAATATTAAAGTACAAAATCCATCTGGAGTGGAAGAGCCAACAGAAGCTGGAAAGACTTCTGCCAAAACTTCAGGTGTTCTCGTAGCAAATAACTCTTAATTAAACAATTATTTTCTGTATTGTGTCTAGTCACAATGAGTTGTGAAATGTCTCCATATGTTGTCATAGGAGGCGGCATAGCTGGCGTTTCATGTGCACAAAGTCTTAAAGTAATTTCATCTAACAAACAAACAAAAGTAGTGTTATTATCATCAAGTTCCGTTGTTAAATCAGTGACAAATATAAATAGAATCACACAAAACATTGAAGATTTTGATGTTACAGAAACCAAAATAAACGAACTCAATGATTCATCCCTTGGTATAGAAGCAAAATGTTGTGATGTGGTCAAAATAAATCCAGAAAAACAAGTGGTAATAACATCAACTGGTGAAGAAATATTTTATTCCAAACTATGTGTTTGTACAGGAGCAAAACCAAGTTTGATCAATAACCAATGCCCTCATGTCATTGGAATTCGTGATACCCAAACTGTTAATGAATTGGAATCACTTGTCGCCAAGTCTAAAAAAATAGTCGTTGTTGGAAATGGTGGGATTGCAATGGAGCTTGTTTATAGCTTGGAAAATATTGATGTTGTTTGGGTTATTAAAGATACATCGATCGGCAAAACATTTTTTGACGGTGGTGCTGCTGAGTTTTTGCTATCTAGTCTTGATCAACCTAAAGATAAATCAGATACTTTAGTCGAACCTGATAAAAGAAGATCAAAATACACAGTTTTTAATCTGTCAAATAACTCATCTACTTCTGCGCCCGTGTTAGGTGGCAGTGCCCTTGGTCCTGACTGGCATCAACAGACTTCTCTCACAGGTAGCTCATCAAAAAATATCACGTTCGAGTACGGATGTACAGTGCAAGAAATTCTTTATGGTGGAAGTTTGGTTGGTTCAGATGGTCAATTTCCAGTTGAAGTGATATTATCGAATGGAAAACATATCGAATGTGATTTTGTTGTTAGTGCAACTGGAGTTTCACCTAATATTCATTTGTTTAATAACATGCCGAGTTGCACTATCAATTTGGATGGCGGAGTAGAAGTTGACTCCAACATGCGAGTGACTGGTGTGAAAAATATTTATGCCGCAGGCGATGTGTGCAGTTGTTCTTGGCAAAAATCATCTCACTGGTTGCAGATGCGTTTGTGGACACAAGCTAGACAGATGGGTATATTTGCAGCGCAATGTATGGTTTCACATTCAGAAACAGGCACTGATCCCATTCTAGATTTTTGTTTTGAGGTCTTCACTCATGTGACAAAATTCTTTGGTTACAAAATTGTACTTCTTGGAAAATACAATTGCCAAAATCTTGATCTTGATAAAACACAGTTGGTCGTTCGCGTAACACCCGGGCTTGAATATATCAAAGTTGTATTATTCGAAGGACGAATGTATGGAGCTGTACTTGTTGGAGAAACGGATTTGGAGGAAACATTTGAAAATCTCATTTTAAATGGAATGGATTTATCTCACTATGGCGAAAACTTACTGCATCCTAATGTAGATTTGGACGATTATTTTGATTAAAATATTGTTTTTTGCTGTATACGTCTTTGTTAAAACAGCTGCTTTTGTTAACCCTTGTACCTTTCATTTAGCTGACTGGATATATGTACAGAAACTTGCTAATAGTTCGAATGAGTAACCATCACCAATTAATAGTTTTCTCAACATTAAATATTTTGTATTGAATGCTTAGCTCATCAGATCAATATCAATTTTTTTGTAGATTTGTCCCTTGTTCATTAGCATTTTAATTTGAAATATCCGATCTGATTATTTTATTTATGGTCTCTCAAATAATCGAATCATTTTCGATAAACTATTAGATTTAGGTAGCAGTAGTGATTCATTTTGAATTCAAATTTTGCACTGTTCTACTTTTATTTCAGCTAAAGGTATATTAACATGGTCTGACTTTCTGATTCTTTTTTGAAATACAAAATGAATCGTGTTTCTTTCGGGACTGCAACAATCAATAAACTGTGTAGGAATGTAAGTGCAGTACATCTGACTAAAACTCTGAAATCAACAAGTTCTGCAGTACTTGCTGTAAGAAGAGAAGACAATGTGGTATGATGGTTTTTTAATAGTATTCATGGCTTATCTGAGAAATTTCTTATCAACTTGTATACAACCGGAGATGGTAGATTTTCTATTAATGATATAACTGGAATCCGACATTTTCACAGCTTCTTTTAATGGTGATAATATTTGTAGCATAGGTGTTGACCAAATGTGATAAATTGTATGATTTGCAATAATATAGTTTACTCTGCTTTACAACCGAAACGTGCTCAACAACATTTCTCTGATATATTGGGTATTTTATAGGTTTGGGAACGAAGAGCCCCGCTGGCACCATCTCATATAAGAAAACTTGTCAAAAAAGGGGTGAAAGTCATTGTACAACCTGCAAATAAGCGTGCTTATCCGGTCCAGGTAAAACTTCATCCTATTTTGTATTTCTGTATTTTCCAAAATTCATGCCAAGAATTCATTAACATTTTAGTTTGAATGTAATCATCTACATCTATTGCTGTCAAATTCATATTTTTGCTTTTTGTCAACAAGGATTTATGTTACTTTACTAACATAGGATATGGCTTCTTCGCATTAGCGACAGATATGTTGTGCCATTTGCATGAAATCATGTTAAGCTGAGTTTGACTAAAATCACTAAATATTAGTATTGGCATTGTTTTTCCGCTTGGTTTAAGTTTTCTGGTGGTTAAGTGTGTGGTTTCAGCAACTTTCAGTTATTTCACTTATGACTAAACCACTGATAAAATAGTTATTGATTATTATTTAGTGAGTAGCAGACTAACTTTGAAAATTTTGGGGTTTGTGCTTTTTATAGAATTTGGTGTATAGGATATTTAAGCAATTGTTATAGCATAGACAAATTTACAGGACAGGACTTACTTGCTGCCAAAATCATTAATAAATGCTATTTCTTCAGTCTATAAAGGTAAGAATATTAAATTTTTGTTTGACCACTAATTGATTGAAATTAATATCAGCAAATTCTCAAAATAAAGGTTGTTTAACTGTTGATATTAGATTGCGACAACGAGCACGATATAATTTTATGAATTCTCTGTTGTTTTTATTAATTTGATCACTTGATAAATTTGAAGCATGATAATATTACATTGCATGTCTATGCCTGCTGCTCAGCTGTGAATTAGTTTATTGATCACTTAGCATAGATTTTATTTGCGTTGTATTATTTTGATTAATATTTATTAAGAATTGTATTGAATTGTATGAATATCTACAAAATTGTAGATTAATAAAACTATCTGCTGTAAGATCATATTTATAATGAAACTGGTAAATTTTGGCATATTCTCAATTGCCAATGTAGTGTGTTTATATTTGAAACAATTATTCAACTCTCGTGGGGGCTGTTTCAACATAACTTAAATATTTATTATATAATAAAACCTATGAAACAAAATTGAATTCTTTTATCACCAATCTTTGCAATTTAATTTGTTCTTGGTTTGACATGTGCAGCCGATATTAAACTATTAAACATGTGTTCATATGTCATTTTAGGAACTAGTTCAGATGATTCAATAATAAATTATACTTTGATGTGACTGAGAAAAAATTGTTACTTGAATGACATACTAATTCTGTGTCCTATATTTCCCCTAGTTGATGTTCATTAATCTATTAGATGTCCTTTGCCCAAATTATAAACGGATGAAATCTTTTTACTTAAGAAACTGCAAATAGCAAAAAATTTGCAATATAGATATGCGTTTCATATTCAACTTCCTGTGTAAAACAATTTTGACTGTCATATTAGGAAGTAAAAAAAAAATGGGTTTGCTTTTCATAAAGGAATATGAAGAGGAAGGTGCTGTGATACAAGAAGATATTTCTGAAGCATCTGTTGTATTGGGTGTGAAGCAGGTTCCAGATAAATGTCTTCATCCAGAAAAAACTTATGTTTTCTTCTCGCATACAATCAAGGCACAGCGAGAAAATATGCCAATGTTGGATATCATATTAGATAGGGTAGGATGTATTTGCTATTGGAATTTTTTTCTTGAAAAATGCATTTGCTATTTATGGTGATAGTGATGTTTCTCCATTATTAGCTGGCATGACTCCCTGTTTTTCAGAAAATTCGCCTCATTGATTATGAAAAAATGGAAATCAAACCAGGAATGAGAGTTGTTGCTTTTGGCAGATATGCTGGATATGCAGGAATGATTGATATTTTACATGGAATGGGTCTACGACTGTTAGCACTTGGACATCATACACCTTTTATGGTACAGATAATAGTATTTTCATATTCCTGTACAAGGCTATCTATCTAATCTATTTCAAAGGATTTTCAAGTATTTTAAACCGATAAAAAATATGATTTTCTCATAGTGGAATGAATTACTTTCCAGACGCTTTTGGAACCATTCTGTCGCATCACCATAAAGTTCTTTGGTAATTCAAATACATGCAGAAGTGAATTTTTGCACATGAATCAACATCATATTTGACTGGGAACAAGTTTTGATGAAATAATAATGATGATACCAACTATTTATCCTCTGCTCAATCCAACAGTGACTAATCCCAATCCTTTCCACAAAAAATTATTTTTACAACATGTTATATGTCACTTTTATTGTAGCATATTGGAATTGCTCACAATTATCGAACTTCAGGACAAGCAATTCAAGCTGTAAGAGATGCAGGATATGAAATATCGCTGGGTAGAATGCCACAATCTATCGGACCTATTACTTTTGTCTTCACCGGAATTGGAAATGTATCTCAGGTATTACTTGGCTGATTAATGTATGTGTTGGTAATTATAATTACAGAACTGATCATTTTAGTAAAGTGTTTTTGATTTCAAGGGTGCACAAGAAGTGTTCAGAGAATTGCCACATTTATATATTGAACCTCATGAATTGAAAAATGTCGCAGAACATGGTGGTAAGTATTGTATCATCTATATCTGACTCGGGCAAACTACGGCCCGCGGGCCAAATTCGACCCGTTAGGTAGTTTAATCCGGCCGCCTGATGCTGCCACAACCAAACTAAAACCAAATTTTTATATGTAGCTGAAAAAATACCTAAGGAATTTGTTGTGATCGCGGTTGAATTTAGTTTTGGCACGAGGCTTATTCTTTTCCATTTTTGCTTTTGTAACACTGTATATATTGTTCATAAAATGTAACTTATTACATCACACTTGGCCCGCCAGTCAAGGTGGGCAAAATTTTTGGCCCCTGGCCCTGGTTCAAAAACCTTGCCCACTCCTGATCTATCTTCAATTGAATTCTCTATGTTCTGAATTTGGCCAGGTATTACAAGAAAAGAGTAAAGAAATAAATAGATTTGCCTACTTAGATTTATTATTGTTTCTCTCATTTGTGTGGAGTCTTCAATTCATCATTAACTTTCTAATTCATTAAGTATGTTTTCCTTCTTGGATCACTAAAACAGCAGCTTTGTTTATTTTCATTTGCAGACAGTTCCCGAGTGTATGGTTGTGTAATTGACATGCAGCATTATCTTCGCAGAAGAATAGACGGAGGTTTTGACATGCAGGAATATTTTGATCATCCGGAAAAATATGAATCAACATTCGCCCAAGAGGTTTGTAATCGGAAGTTAATCTAAAACACTTGTTTACTTTTATATTATTCTATATATGACTGAGCTAATGTTATGTGAGTCACAAATCACAAGTACTTACTGTGTTCCATTTGTAACTGCTATCAATACACCCTGTATCACTTCTTTAGATAGCACCGTACGCTTCATGTATAGTCAATGGAATATTTTGGAGACCGAGAGATCCACGACTTTTAACCAACGAACATGCTGTTTCTCTTCAAGATCCAAAGTTTGCTCCAAAAATATCTCCAATTATCAGAAATGCTGTTACAAGCTCGGAAGGTTGCCCAAGGCTGCCACATAGGTTGGATATTAAAACAATATTCAAGTATATTAGTATGTTTTGTAGTTTGTTATGCCTAGACAACGTTGATGATAATGATACAGCTTGTCGTATGCCTACGAATTTCTCGACATATTACTGAGTTTGCCAAAAAATGAATATTCTTCTAATATTTTCTAGGATGAAACATTTATTCTGAATTGGTCCTGTCCATTCAATGAAATTATTTTTAAGTTTTTAAAGTTGCAATTGGTTTTCTATTTTCTACAGTTTTGAAAAATGTAGGACCTTCTGCGAGATATATATAATATATTCTAATTGGTTCCATTCTGTACATTACTGTTTCAACTGAATTGTAGCTTATTATCAAATTGACATTATTGATATTTTCTACAGGCTGATTGCAATTGCAGACATTTCCGCTGATCCTGAAGGTTCAATCGAGTTTATGACCGAGTGCACAAGTATTGATGCTCCCTTCACAATGTACAATGCAGTGAATGAAAGTGTCATTCCAGGGTAAATATGCTTAACATTTTTTAAATTTTTTATGATATAATTTAAAAGATTTGACAGAATATATGGTTGGATAATATATGGTTTTTGGTATGCAAAATTGCTTCATAATGCTGAAACAATATTAGTTTTCCGTTAAATGGCAGAGACTGATGATTTATACAAATATACTCAAGTGAATGCATTCAAGTAAAGTTGATGATTATTATAAGTTATGTAAAGCATCATATTATTCATATTATTTATAGAGTGAAAGATGAAGGCGTTCTCTTATGCTCAATTGATAATCTTCCTGCACAATTGCCGAGAGAAGCAACAAACTTCTTCGGTGATCAGCTCATGCCATACATGCATGACATTGTAAGTATTCAAGCAAATGCACAGAATAATGATATTTTCATGAATCTGACATTGCTGGAGAATCTTTTTGACTAGGGGAATAGCCATAAATTTTGTTGACATGCTGTCTAACATTGAAGAAATTATGACAAGTAACCTTTTCATACATTGACTAATATTGCCTACAGCAGTTACTATGCCAGCAATCGATGATCATATTCGTATCCATGGCTTGACGGTTATTCCACCTTCTGGTTAATGCACCTAATTTCACGGATTCTTCATGCATGTAGAATGTATATGATGCTTATAAATGCCACAAAAACATCTAAAATGAAGTTATGGGTGCTAATGTACATTATCCTAGGTCCAATATGTATACACAGGGGCGCAGCCAGGATTTTTCCAACGTGGGAGGTTACGGTGAAATTAAAACATTACACCAAAAGTGCTATTCACGACGACGTAATAATGTTTTAATAAACTAAAAAAACTTGTTTTTATTTCATAATTTTGTCATAAATGAAGGCTGCAGTAAATTTTTTGTCAACGCGATTGTTTCGGCGCCCGACATTCCAATTAATGTTGTTAAGTTATAATAAAGCACTTTTTTATTCAAATATTAATTCTTACGCAACGGCGGATATCGTGGTTTTTATATTTAGGACAGAATTGCGAGTTCACATCGGCGAAGATGTTAGAGACAACTATTAAGGGGTGCATTCACAACACAAATCAATTTTATTCTCATTTTTTTCTTCTGTGCAGGATTTGTACCACAGTTTGTAAATTACGGTCCCAATTTTAAGCGAACAATATTATCATTACTGACCCCCGGATGCAATATTTGTGAAGCGAATAGTTGACATTTTTATACTTTTAATTTTTAGTTCGTGTCCGTGTTACTTTCGTATAAAATAATAATTAATACCGTAGCTCTGCAAATTGGTAATCTCTTGAATACTCAGTGTTGAGTATTTACGTTACTCAGCTTTGGGTTAAAACACTGATACTAAACACATGAATAAATCGGCAATAATGGCATTTCTACGTGGTCAAAATAATATTTTTTTTTTTTTACCAATATCTTGAGAAATTTCCATAAAAAGACATTATTTACCTGTCTTACATATCTGGTTCGACGTTTCTAAATTCACAAAAACGGTGTTGACACGCTTGATGCAAAATTAGGAATTGAAAAATATGACACAAAGAGGCAAGGAATTTTTTTTTTTCTCATTCATCGTTTCTACCAGTTAGCGATAGCCGTCGGTAAATTCGTTGTAAATTAATGTTAATAAATTTAATTTTGCTTTTCAATGTGCCGTGCTTGAAATAAAAATGATTAGGTCGGGATTAGAAAGCCCTTAAATTAGCTTATAACCCTTCCCTTCTTTTGAGCGCCTATAACGGCGGTTAAATCGTTTCATGGAGAGAAGGAAAATATGCCTTCCGGAATTGCATTCAACAATTACAAATTCTTATTTATCCTTATTAGCGCTAACTAAAAATGATAACATATCTTGAAGGCGGAAAAAGTCTGTAGGTGTTAATTGCGTTACGATGATAACGCGCAGAATAATATTGCTTGGACTGCGAAACATTGATGCTCGATCGAAAAACTCGATCGTAAAGTCTTTGATTTTTTGTAGATGAAATTCACATTAAAATTTTTTCTCAAACGGTGGGTCGGGGGGGTTACGAATACGACCCATGTAACCCCCCCGCTGGCTGCGCTCCGTGTATACATGACAAATATTTGATAATATTTATAAATGTACTATCACTATGTTTGTAGTCTTGCTAAACGGTGGTTCTTTTTGTGTCGATGATACTTATATTGCCGTATTAAGTGCATTCTGCTGAATACTTGAATTTCACTATTTTTAAAATGTTTTAAAGCTTAACATTTAATTGCTAACAAATTTGTTTAGTAAACTGTGATACCTTGTTTTCAATAATAACAACTTGACCTCATAAAATAATTCATGGTTGTCATATGTTTCTTGCACTATTCTCAAATTTTTATGTTGCAATATTGCAAATTCAAATACATTACAAAAAGAATTGTTAATATTGTGATTTTTCACAAACCATGTTGTCTTCGACATTTAGGAAATTTCTCCAATATATAATCTTAGCTCAAAATGAAAATTTGCAGACTTTGTTGAATAAAACAAACCTTTTTCAGATTTCCAATGATGCCAAAGTACCCTATGAAGACATCAAAGACATGTCACCTGTTGTGAAAAATGTGGGTTCTTCTGATAAATAGAAAAGTCAATGGTTGTATTATGTTTATTTAAGAACGTTTGGTTGGGCAGACAATACACTATAGATATGTATTTGTGATAGTGTTCAGCAACACTTCTGAATTCCTTGATACATATAAATATGTGTTTTGATTTTCAGGCGATCATTGCTTCTAATGGAAAATTAACTCCACAATATGAATATATACACCAGCTCAGACAACAAAGGTATTTTCATGTCATCTACTTCATGTTTTTTTTTTGTTAAATTAACTCAGTGTGCCAGTCAATTTTTTATTATTTGCAAGTATTTTGTTGCAAAAATGTTATCGACACCATTTTCATGATATTGTTTGTCAGTTCATATCAGAATATTATATTCATATCCTAATCTTCATTCTAATCTTCACGTAAAAACTTTTTATCGAAGTAAATAAATGTTGTACATTCATTATCGAATAAACCATAAACCAATAATTCAAGATTCTGCTTTGAGAAGGAAAGTTTAGAAAATAATTCCATCATGTAATGTTGAAAGTTTGTATAATGAGTCATATCCAAGAGAATATATTATTGTGTTGCTTCATTGTATTGATCAGCCACACATTTCAAGCTTTTAATTTTGTTACTTCTCTTGATATGTCAATAATGATTGATAATCTATGATCTATACAAACATGCTCGCTTTTTTGCATCTTAAAATTCTGTAATATATTACAAAAAGGGAGATGGATTCATATTTGGGAATCTAGATATAAGGAATAATTTGTGTGTTTCATAGATGTGTAAATGCTGAATACATCAGTTTGGATTCATATGTGAAGTAATGTCTAATTTCAAAATATTTTCCTATTTGAATATATCTGTTACTAATATAAATTGCTTCTTATATGGAATAGTAATATGTTCTTTACCTTCGTATCATTCTTACAGTATAATAGAGATGAACAGAAAATCACAGGTTATCAAAAGGTATAAGGCTTATGAAATCAGCATTTGCATATTGTCATAACTGTATGATTGTGTTGACTCTTGTCATTAGTATTTTTATTTCATATTGTTATACATATTATCTGTTATATCATATTAATAAACTGTTATGCATCTTAAACTGCCAAACTTGAGACATAAATATTTGGCCAAATTGGATTAGTCTCTTGGTGCATGGTGTTAGTGATTGAATGCGAAGGATATGAAAAATAATAGTAGTATTATATATTATAATCTTCAAACTCCTTTGAATATGATATTTGCTGTGAAATTCTGATTGAAACTAATACTGCTGAACTAAATTTAACGTAGTTCAAATGCTGATGGGGATTTTAATATTTTGCATTTGTGCTGAGGAATAATACTATTTATTTGCAGTAGCTTGATTTTTAGGAACATTTTTTAGGATTGAAAATTTTATCAATGTTTAGAGTATTTTTCTTCTTGTGGAGATGTAACATAATAATGGTATTTTGTTTCATGTCGAATTGGTTATGATAAAAATTGGGGAAACGATTTTGAAACACATTTCATGTTAACTAATTTCATCAGTGATTGGGAGAAACCTCTTTCTACATACACTTGCAGATGCCAAATTGAATCTTTTAGACATTAAATCTAAAAGGCCCAATTTAACATTAAACTCCAAAGCTATAAATTGCAATTTTTCCACCACCTTTAACTGATCTGAAAATTTTATAGCATTGTTTTGATGTAATCCAGACTTAGGGCATCATAATTTGGCATCTATTCTATAGTGGGATCTGGAAAAATGTGGTTGCAGTTTTTCTGAAACATTGTAAAATCTACATTTATATAATAAGAAATTTTAATTGCTCACATGAATTAATTTAGATACATTCTATTCTGAGAATGATCAGTGACAATTTTGTACTTTATTTATTATGCAGACATCCACCTCACCTCATGTTTATCTCACTTATTACATTCTTTGTATTAAGGTCTTGTTTTGTATTTTGCCTCTTAAATATTGTTTTGCCTCTTGAATTAAGATTTTGCGCAAAAACTGAAGTATGCATTTTATTACAAGGTAATAAGAGAATACATTGATAAATTTTGGCAATATGTATGTTCAGAAATATATATTTTATGTTCAGAATTACATATATTTTAAATCTTATAAGCTTTGAATGAGATGTTGCTTTCAACAATAACAAAATATTTTCCCAATCTTTTGGATCTTGAAAAAATATACGAATCATGATTGATGTATTTTAGTATTCAACCTTGGTCCCCACTGCTTCCCCTCATGAAAATTTGACTTTTTCTCATAATTTTATTTGCTATTGTTTTTCTCTATTTCACTGGATGTAAAAAACAAACCAGACTAAGACTTTAAATTGAAGATATACCTTTTTATGCTCGCAATTTCAAATTTTGTGCAATTTTTTAAAGTAGAGTTTTTGCTTTGACAAGTCAGAATTTTTATATATATTTCCAATGGTTATGTCATGAATGCCTAATCCTAATGGTGATTCACTATTATGATATAGTACATGAATTCTTTATAACTTACTTTGTATTCATCCAATTTCATGCCTATCTTATTTGTTTTTGTACTTCTTATACCATTTAGTTAGTTGATTCTTTGACATTATTTCAACGTCAAAATTTCAACGTCAGATTCATAACTCTCTACAATCTATCAAGGAATCTTGTTGGTAATTTCAGAGTACAAACTGGTGCCATGTCTATATCAGATGGAAAGAAATATAAAGTTTTGGTTTTAGGAGCTGGTTTTGTATCACGACCTGTGTTAGAATATTTAACAAGAAGAAATGATACTGCTGTTACAGTTGGTAAGTTTAGAATAATTCATTTTCATCAAACATTGAATCATATATTAAAAATCAGAGCATTTTCTTAAAAAAAATGGCACGCATTCTGATCCTTATTATTTTTTGATATTTTGTTATAACAGCGTCCAACAAACAATCTGAAATTGCTGATTTATCTGGGAAGTATGGAGATACAAATCCTATTCTAATGAATGCTGGTGAAGAGAAAGATAGATTAGTAGATTTAATCAGAGGACATGATTTAGTAATCAGGTATTCTACAGGATATTTTTGTATCTATTTTGAAAATAACTGGCAAAAATCTGCTCTTTTAATGAGTGGCGTAATCACAGCGAATGTTTTAGAGGTCATTCATTGCATGGGAACTTCTGATTTTCAAGTCTCACCCAACCTTTTGTTAAAATCCTGGCTGTGCCGCTGATTGCAAGCCGGCAATTACGATGATTTCAAGTGATAACCTTGATGCATTGTTTTAAAACCCAATCAGCGCTGGATAGATTCCACAAAAATATAATAACAAGCAAAGTCGCACATGTCTCAAATACTCATGGTCATGGTATAAGAGCATGAATGTTACAGCATATTACCAAGGTTCAAGGCGAAGATTACATGCTATTCGCCGCGCTCAGACATTGTGCAGAATGATTTTTAGGAGAGTAAACGCTTTTCGGTACTGTTTTCTGAAACTGCATTCGTTCTGTCAATAATTACGACTTTCCGTATTGCAAAATTCAAAATTTGCAGACGTAATAGAAAATAAATACCGTAAATTATGTGCAAGCTTATGATCTAGTTGTATTTAGATATTTTACAATGCTTCAAATCTATCTAGTTTTCGATAAATTTATTAAAATTGAGTTTATTTGTTGTTTATTTTCTTTTCTACAGCTTGCTTCCATATACAATGCATGCTCCCGTTGCGGAAACTTGTATCGAACAAAAGAAGAATTTAGTCACTGCAAGTTATGTTTCTGAGCAAATCAAAGCTTTGCACAACAGGTAGTCTATTGATAACACCTTATTTCATTTTTTTCTCTATTTATTATTTGATATATGTTGGTAACGATAACGAATTGAATTAAAAATTTGTAGATAATGTACTTGAAATGTTAATGACTTGGCGGATATTTTCTGTTTCTTACATGTAGAGCTGTTGATGCCGGTGTGACAATAGGAATGGAATTTGGGCTTGATCCTGGAATTGATCATATGCTGGCGATGCAGTGTTTCGATGAAATAAAAAGAAAAGGTGGGGAGGTATGTCTGCATTAATATCATTAGTAAACATGATAATTATGTCTCACAGGTAGGCAACATATTGGAATATATTTAAATGTGACCGCAATTGTAAGATAAAGTTTTGTCACAAATTACAATTTTGCCATTGTGTCGCCCTTTCAGATTTCATCATTCATATCATGGTGTGGGGGATTGCCAGCTCCTGAAGATTCCAATAATCCACTCAGATATAAATTCAGGTAGGTTGCTATGCAATTGTTGCTTAGGAATCGTCATGTGATTCACAATACTGATGGAGACTTGCCCAACACTATACTTATCAGCATTATTTTGTTGCGAGGTTCGTCATGACCCACATTGGGTATCAATTATATTTCTTATCAAATACCGGTATATCATTTTAGATCATTATATTTATAAACATTTTATGGAATTACTTGCCTGTTCTTGGACAATTTGGACTTGAATATTTTTATTATATCTCATGTCAACTACTATCTGTCACAAGGATGAACCTTTATATCTCAATGGCTGACTGCAACTCTTCCATCTGTACTTTTATTCAGATGGTTTTTTTTTCTTCGAAATACTGAATTTTTAGTCGAGGTCATCTTTTATCTGGTAAATCTTGATTATTTAGGATATTGTAGATTTCTTTGTATTCATATTTATGTTGATACCTCTCACAGCTCTTAGTAATAGAATTTTAGGCATTTATTGCAAAATTTTGATACTTTATTTTTCATGTTAAGTTGGAGTCCTCAGGGTGTTTTGATGGTCACTCTTGCTCCAGCTAAATATTTATATAATGGTGAACTGATTGAAAGATCTGAAGGTGGAGAAAATTACAGGAAACCTCCTCATGAAATACATGGATTGCCAGGTTTCAATTTGGAAGGAATTCCAAATAGAGATTCCATAAAATATGCCAAAGAATATGGAATTGAATCAGTAGATACTATTTTGAGAGGAACATTACGTTACAAGGTGATTTCAGATAACCAGGATAGACAGCATCTTTTATTAACTTTTGCTTATGGATAGTTCTTCTTTTGTTGGATTTTTTCTATGTCAGAGTATGTAAATGTGTGCACCTAAAAAAGTTATGAGATTATGTTTTTGCATTCACAAATTTTGAACTGCTTAGTGCCGCATTGGCGTTTTTGGTATCAAGTTGGTATTCAATCCCACGATACACCCACTGAGATATGGTTGATCATATATTTACTTCTAATAAATTCAGGGATTTGCTGATGCTGTGGTTGGATTACAACAACTTGGTTTGATTGATATGACACAGAATGATTATCTTCAACCTGATTCTTCAGACATTACATGGGTGAGTTTTGAAAACAAACCATTCTCTTACATTGATAAACAATATCTAGTTCTGATCATACAATAATAACATCTAATATGTATATGAAGGAAAGTTTTCTAACTTGGTTTTCTGATTGTTAGAAACAACTCATTCCTAAATTATTGAATGATCAAAGAGAAGAAATATCTGACGAGGAATTACAAGCGATGGTTTATGATCAAGTTGATCAGGAAGTTACACGATTGAAAGCAATTAATCAGTATGTATCAAAATTATAAAAAAACTGTCAAATAATTAAATTCCCGACAGGATTTTTGATTTGTTGTCACTGTCAGTATAAAAAATATCAAGAACCATTAGATTGGCGTCTTGGAACTATCTTCTCATTCCTTCTATCGAGTATTTTTCATTCTGTTTTTACCTTTTTCAGCCAATTTATGTTTGTTGAGTCTGTTGACCGTTATTGCCATAAAACAAGCGAACTTAACGTTATATATTTAAGATGATCGTAAGAAGTTTTGGAAGAAAATGTTGAATTGTGTCCATGAATACATGTTATTAGCATGTCATTACTCGGAATCTTAATGAATATCAAACATTTTTAGAATGTAATACAGAAGTGACCCATATTTGAGTAGTATCATCTTTTTCTCTCTGCTATATTTGACATATAAGCAATATTGAGCCCAATGTATATTTTGGTCAATTTATAAAGTTCGATTGGATAAAACAAAATCTTGCATAATTTCCTCAATTCAGCAAATTTGAATATCTTTGATTTAGAATATTCAACGTCATCAATGGACCTCTTAGATATATCAATATCTCGTTTTCCCTACTATTAATATTATACATACACATATGGTATATAGTGTAATCGTTCGAGAAAATTCTTCTCATCGTTTATTATTTGCTTTTGAGTGATATTTGGTGGAGGCTTGCAACACTGCTTTAGACAAGTCTATCGTTTGTCATAATTTCAGACTAGGGTTGATGACTGATGAACCTGTAGCAAAGGCTGGAACACCAATGAGTGCCTTGGCAGAACATTTGTCGAGAAAACTAGCTTATGGTAAGATATATTTAACTATCGTGATTAGCGAAATGGCATTTTAACATTTAATATAGCAAACAGTACCAATCTCGCAGATAATAGAAATAATAGTGAGAAACATCAAAGCCTGTTTCTTTTGCGGATGCCTCCATTAATGGTGGTATTATATTTATGGTAGCTGGTAGGGAGACATCAAAGATATAGTCTCATCAGCTGGCAAAGCATGTGAATGAAAAGAGCGGTCAAAAGTTCTTCGTCTGCTGAAGCAGCACTATGTCAGCTTGAAACTTTTAGTAACACTATTTTATCAAATATTGAGGGGTAGTACATAAATGTTTTGGTCTGATTGTTTTAGCAAACTTTTGTAATAATTATGCCATTCCTGGTTTACTTGTTTGTCTGGGGGTGCTATTTTGATGAGGGTTTATTATAGTTTGCTCACAGAAGTAAATGTGTTATCTGCTATGAGTTGTGAAATCTGATTGATGTTGTCTTCATCTGTTCAGATGTTTCTTTTGATGTAATTTGAATCTTTTCATGGAGAATTTTTTTTTGACTAATTCCAATGAACCCTCCACTCACATGTTCCACCATTTCCATAGTACTAATATAAACGATCTTATATTCAATCAATCTGTAGGACCAGATGAAAGAGATATGGTTATCATGAGGCATGAAGTCGTTGGAAAATATTCTGACAGAACAGAGCAACATAATGTTAATCTTGTAATGTATGGTCAACCTGGTCACCATACTGCAATGGCAGCTGGAGTTGGATACCCCTGTGCAATATTAGCAAGAATGATTCTTCAAGGTAATTTGTTTGTCTGGTTTAAATTATCAAAAGCAGCTTGGGCAATTATTAACTACTATCTTAAAACTTACTTTTAAATTATTTTACAATTACACTCAACATTTGCATAGCAGAACTCTGAATCATCAACACTGCTTGAGAATTCTTTTTATTGCTAGTCATTGATACTCTAGTCTATACTTTTTTGTAGGAAAAGTGGATGACAAAGGCATTGTGACTCCATTAAGGTCTCAAATATATGAGAAAGTTCTATCAAAACTACGAGAACTTGGGATCAAAGCTAAATCTGAAGTTATTACACAAAAATTTAATTAAGATTGTTTCAGAAATCTGTAACCATGTTATATTTTCCAAGTCAACTCAAATCAAAATTGCATAATCAGTGACATGTCAATTTTAACATCAGTAATTTTTATTTTCTCTCACTATCATTCCCAAATAGACGATCGTTTTCTTTCTTTGTCACTTGACAAACGTGCCTTAAAATGTTGTTTGAAATTTTGTTATTTCACATTCCACGGTTCATCATTATCGGGCTACTAACTATACTATCAATTATATTGTAAGACTGTGATTCGATATCAGACCTCCGTATACGATATCGTGTAATGTAATTTATCTATTGTGATATCAATATGACACTTTATTCTGCATTTCACTAAATTTGCACTTAATGCACCAAACACAACTGATGTAATGAATTGATTTGCATATTGCGTTCTTGTATATATAGTATATATATGTATGTTGAGCTTCTTATTAATTAAAAATAAAATTAACCAATTTACCTATTACACTGCTGTAATACAAGCACAATGTACGAATATATATAACTGTGGATTATCCTTTCGTCAAATTATAGCAAATGAGACGATTAGAACTCATGCTCCTCAGATTCAGATATTTATATTCGTTGTGCAAGACCAATATGCGATATGAAATAAATAAAAGGCATGTAACAAATTACAAAACGGATATCGCCTTGTAGCAGTTGACTAGGGGGCGCGAAATATGCATCTTGCTAATTTATCGTTACTCTTGGAGTAACTCGAACTTCAAGTACTCTGATCGATAATATTTTCACTAACGCTATCTTTGTCATCTTAAGCGATATTAGTGATCACTATGCATAACTTTGCACAGTTTCTGCTCCTGTTGTTATAAAAAGTCAAAAACAAGTATTTAGGCGTGATATGAGTCACTTCTCCATTGATAACTATAGATTTGATCTAGAAACTTCTTTCCTCCCTATGTCGAGCTGCCAAATTACGCATGATAATTTAAACATTTTATTCTATTCATTTGTAGAAATAATTAAATCAACAATTGATGCCAATGCACCTATGGTTAACCAAGGGCATTCGCACTTCAATTAAAAAAAAAAGTAAAATGCACAAAACTCACTTCAAAAATGGTAACAATATGCAACATAGATTGTATATAACTTATAGCCACTTACTTTCGGTTTTGATAGCCAAGGCAAAAAATTCAAACTAGTCAGTGGTGTCATTAAATTCTGGAATCTAATTGGCCGACTAGTCAACATAAAAATGAGAAAACCCCAATAAATTCAATCAAAGCCCTAAGAACGGATAGTAGGTTCAAAGTAAGCGATCCAGGTACAATTGCTAACTATTTTAATAATTATTTCATCTCTATAGGTCCTAAACTTTCTGAGAAAATCTCCCACATTGAGGGATCATTTCTGAGTAATCTTAGGAACCCTATCAAAGAATCTTTTTTCCTTAGGCCCACAACTGTCAAAGAAACGTATAGTACTATAGCAAGTTTACCAGAAAGTAAAGCCATCATCCAAATTTTTAAAATATGCCGCTTACTTGGTTTCCCCAATTCTCTGTAAATTTTTTAATGCTTCTATAGAGCATGGAATTTTCCCTAATAGTTTGAAAATCGCCAATGTATCACCTGTTTATAAGAGTGGCGATAGGGAAAGTACATCTAATTATCGCCCAATATCGGTCCTTTCTACATTGACTATGGTCTTCGAAAAACTTTTACTTGCTAGACTAACACAATTCATAGAGCGACATAGTATTATAAACAAATCTCAGTTTGGATTCCAGAAGAAGCACTCTACTAATCATGTAATTTTAGATATGATGACTTACTTTTATGACCGGTTAGAGAGAAGGGAATACGTTAGTGCCACATTTCTCGACCTCAAAAAAGCGTTCGATACCGTTGATCATAGCATACTAACCAGAAAAATGAGTCACTATGGGTTTCGTGGTCATGCGTTAAAATTTCTCCAGAGCTATTTGAGTTCTCGCCAGCAGTGTGTAAAAATCGGATCAAGTTGCTCCGAACTTGCAACTGTACAACGTGGAATTCCGCAAGGCTCGATAATTGGCTCATTGATGTTTCTCCTTTTTGTCAATGATCTTCCTGACGCGACTAAATTGCTTGTCAAACTCTTTGCTGATGATACTGGATTGTTCGCAAGTTCAGCTTCATTAGTTGATTTGGAATTGCATATGAACTGTGAAATGCAAAAAATTGCAACTTGGATGACCAGTAATAAGCTCACAATAAATATTGAAAAGTCAATATGCTTATTGATTAGTCCCAAAAAAAAAGAAAACTCTGTTTTATGTTAGCATTGATAAAGCTCAGCTTAAAAATGTCAACTCTTATAAATACCTTGGCAATGTTGGCATCTATATTGATGACCAATTAAAATGGGCCACACATATTAACTACATCGCTGGAAAGCTGGCCCGTGCTTCCGGAATATTATTTACACTCAGAAAATTTCTTACCATGCCAGCTCTTTGAATGGTCTATTTTTCACTTTTCCAGTTGTGGCGTACCAAAATAGATATCACCACTCAGGTTCTTTCTGCCAGCTTATCGGACACTGAAGTTGTAATAGATGTCGATCACAAAATAATCTTCTTGCGGTTCCAAATACAGCAGAGTAACTAAGTTAACTAACTAGATTAATAATACACCTGTAAGAACTTAATACAACCAAATACTCCAATAAGAAATACAATAAACAAATAAAAATACAGTACAAAATACTATACGGATACATACGAAACACAAATAGGAATTGGTCTATGACGTCACAGTCATGAACTATTGACTTGTAATGGAATATACAAAAACCAGGCAAAACATACCTAGAAATACATAAGAATAACTAGCATGACACTAATGATACAACACAAATCCTATCTTATCGACAAACATCTAGTATACATTGCAATACACATAGAAATACGAATATCACACTGGAATATAAACTGCGAAAGTAGACTAGTTACGGAAACGTTAAATACAAGGTAACTAGTGAGCAGAGCTATGTCAAACTGGAGAAACACTAAACCTGTACTACTAATATCATTTTACAACAAGAATTACATATATTTACGGCATTAAAACGCTATAATAATAACCTAAGACACAGAGGAAATTCCATACTGCCGGCACTCTGACAAACCAGCTAAAAAGGAAAGATACTCAGCTGCTCACTAATGACTCAAATGGTAAGAATAAATATGGGCATACAGAATAAAACAGAGTTATAGACGTGGTCGTCTCATTACTCCCCCCTTTTTCATAAGGGGAAATTACAAAGAAATTTTCCATCTTCAAAATTAAGAATACATAAAAATGTGAAGAAACTGTAAGGAACTGTACACTCAAACGAAATGTCTATCTAAAATCAAAACAATCAATAGTTAAAAACTTGATAAAAGCATTATCACAGTAAAATCAAATGTAATCATTCAAATAGCTAGGCCAGGGTCGGCCAACCTTTTTGGCCGACGGGCCACATTTAGTTTACTAATAATTGCGCGGGCCACTTAACATGGTAATTATGTTCTAGTTTTGCTACACTGACCAAAAGTTAATGAAAAAACAAACAAAACCTTCGCACCAAACTTTCTCAATAATAAGAACAATAAAAAAACGAAGATACAGTAAAGTCAACAAAGTTTTTTCTACACGTAGACATTTTAGTGTGAAGTTTTAGTGTTCTAGTTTTGCTACACTGACCAAAAGTTAATGAAAAAACAAACAAAACCTTCGCACCAAACTTTCTCAATAATAAGAACAATAAAAAAACGAAGATACAGTAAAGGCAACAAAGTTTTTTCTACACGTAGACATTTTAGTGTGAAGTTTGGCACTGTTTTTTGCTAACAAGTTTGTCAATATTCGCTGAAAAGGACGATGTAGCAATGCGAAGCGAATTTTCCATATTACTGTCAGAAATTAGTGATCACAGGGGATTTAACATGGTTCATCTGAGAAAAAACTTGCTTGTACGAGTACGTGCTGCCAAATTATGAGGTCATTGAAACTGCAATTCTGCCCAAGTGTGTGAGCTACTATTTATGTATCGATATCTTCCAGTTGGTGATGGCACTCATGGCTCGTTTGAAATGGTATCATTGTATCAAATCTTCATATTAACTACATCACCCGAAAAATAGAAGTTTTACTCAATTTTTTTTATTTAATTTCGAAAATACAGCGCGGGCCACTCGAAACTCCTCGGCGGGCCACGGGTCGGACGACCCTGATCTAGGCCTTCGCCTAGTACGTTGGTTATTATCAGAGTTCGCATCAACTGTAACCTCTTCCGGTACAGTGTCTGGCCCTGAAGAAAAAGGCAATTCTTCAAATATATCATGGGCAATCTGCTCATTGTTTTCCACATTAGGTTCCACATCACGTAAAATGTCAAATCCAGTTAAATCAATATCATTGTCTTCTTTATCTTCATGAAGGTAAGATCTCAGTTTGTCAACATGTACAATTCGAAAACGTGTTCCCGAATTCTTCTGAATCCGATACAAGTGATTTGGTGAACAATTTCTTCTGAATCATCCGGAAAGAGCTCATTTAAGCCAAGCTTACAATGCCAGCGAGGGACCGGTGTCCGCGGGCCAGCAATAAACAATAGACAAAGTGTATAAGCATTAAAAAGCAAGAAAACAAGAAAAAGCTTTTTGGGTTAAATGTGTACGTATTTTGTTTGCATTCTTAATTATTTGTACCACTTCTCATTCTATTTTGGGAGTCATTAGAGCAACCTGATATACTCGGTTACGAACGACAACAAGAACCTTACATCCGGTAAAAACAGTGCGTCTTTTATCAAGTCCTGAACACAGGGGATTGAATGGAACCAGATTTTAACATTACGACAAAAATGCTCGCTTGTGTCTTTATTTATTTGTGAACGCGAGGTGGGAATATTATACTTCGTTGGAAATTATATCACGAAAGATATATTGATACTAAGGCATTTTATTAGGGTTGCAACTTTGGTAAGTTTTGTTAAATAGGGTGGGACTTGCGATACATGGCAACGAAGTTGAATCGTCTGTTGCGATTTTTATTTCTAGCGCCGGTACCTGTTGCGTTCTTGAGAAATGGGGGTAAATGTGTTTTTAAATAGCAAAAAAAAAAAAAAACGGGCAAGCGTTCAACCAATATTTTCAGATGCTTACGACAAAACTGTGAGGGTAACAGTAAATAGGTTTTAGAGGTCGATGTTTTAGCTACATTTTCAAGTTGTATTGGAAAGCAAATGCTGTGTTAGTTTCACCTCAGGTATCCAAAGAAAAAATGGCTGGTTTGGGACCAGTGAGACATCATGTGACGGGACCTATAAAACGCTGTTTCATCGGTCCCAGCAAACAAATTACATCTTCCAACAGCAATATAACTGCAAAATGCCAACTTTTAAAATTGGTAAAGGCTTGTAAGGATAGTACACGAGTGAAGTTTTAAGCAAAGCCGTTAAAAAAGTTATTGCCAATGTGGGGAGTATGCGAAAAATTGCTAGAGATTACAACCTTGAC